GTGAAAGGGGAGCGCGCCTGTTGCACAACTCAGGTCCCTGGCTCTGGGGATTTTCCAAAGGACTAGGCATCCCAACCAGGAATGCATGGATAAGTCACCTCTCCTCTCTAAGCCTCAGTTTCCCTGACTGTCAAATTACCATCTCTGGAAAGAAAGGCAGGGCTCTTCCAGATGAGTCCTCTCTTTGGGTCAGGGCTGCTCCCGTGTTGCTGCCTCTCTGCACCTGGTTTGCATTGCATTTGCATTCATTTGCTTGGGCTGGACCAATAAATGTAGTGTGCGCGTTAATACAACAGTGGTGGGGTTCCAAGGGAAGGAGGCTCCCTGAGGTGGAGACAGAGATGTGGGGGGAGGGAGGCACAGACAGATGCCTGCAGCTAGGATGGGGCCCTTGGGCTTACCCGGACAGCCTCTCCAGCTCCCAAGGGGAGGGGGCAGTCCTGGACTTTGGGATCCCCAGCACCGCAGGCCCCAGGAAGTCTGGGAGGGGAGCGAGCTAGGGACCCAGGCATTCCAGGGGACTAGTGATGGCAGCCCTGATGGGGTGAAGGGCAGCTGAGCAGGGTTCTCAGGCCTCCTAGGGAGCCTGGATCCAGCCCCCGGGATGCACCAGTGTGGCAAATGGGGAACACTCGCCCTGAGGCCCTAGAGAGGGATGAGGGAGGCAAGAAGCCCTAGAGGAGGAGGAGGAGGGAAGGGACGAGGCAGAATCATTCCTACACAGGAGAGGCAGATGGCAAAAACTGCTACCCTGGCTGTTGTCTGGGGTTGGAGGGGAAGCTAAGAAATGAGAAATCAGCCAATGAAGAGGAGGGAGACACAGGCTGTCCGGGTCCCTCCTCACTATCAAAAGGCTCCTGCCAAATCCAGGCTGGGGCAGATAGAGGAGGCAGAAAAGTCCTAATCTGATGGCAGAGACACAGTCCCACCCCGATGGGGGCTCTCTTTCCCCAAGACACAACCCAGGTCCTTGGGAAGCTCCCAGTCTCGTAGGGGGGGAACACAATCCTTGCCTCCACCCTGGAGTGAGGGAGGGGCACAATGGGACATCACACATATTCTCAAAATTACTTAGGAGCTCTTTCAGCAATGTACGAATGAGGGTAAACATAGAGGACAGCTGTGAATGCCTAGCCCTTCATAGATGGAGGGGGCCCCAGCAGAAAGGAGCGATTAGTTCAGCAGAATTAATCAGGGGAGGCTCCCTCAAGTGGATTTTGAGTGAGGTGTGGAAGACAGAGAAAGACAGGGGTTAGGGGTTAGGCCACCCCTTGGTTGGCCTGGGGCAGTGCGGGTAATACTGGGGAGGACAAGGAAGAGGACAGTTGGCTCAGAGGCCTCTTAGCAGCAACACTGGATGGCCCCGGTGCAAAAAAGAGACTCCATGTCCGGAAGAGCCTTTTTGTCCAGAGATGGTCATTTGACATTCAGGGAAACTGAGGCTTAGAGGAGTGACAGGGTTGAGATGAGCCAGCAAGTTAGGGGCAGAGCAGAGACCAGGGAGCAGATTTTAGGGCTCCTAGTCCTGTACTTTCTCCTCCCCCATCTGGCATGCTGATAACCTAGGGCTGTTGTCAGAAGGTTCCAGGAGCCCTGCCATCCTCCAGGTGTTTTGTTAGAACCAGGGAAAGTACCTGAATCTCTTAAGGCCTCTTTTTCTCCATCTGTACTCTGGGCTTTTTCATCAAGGAGGGGAAAGTCCTTTGCAGGAAGGTCCCACGTGAATCCAAGGTATTGGTAGGAGTTGCTGACAGCTTTCCTGTAGCAAACATGGGGGGACTGGAGAGGGAGGCCGGCAAGAGGCCGGGGTACCCTCAGCTGATCAGGCAAGGTCTGCTTCCACCGGGGCCTGATCTGCTGACTTTTGGGGGAGGGGTGGTGGTGGAAGGAGGACAAATTTGCGTTTGATTTGCATATCAATTGTGTGAATTCCAGGACTGGCCACGTGCTCTGGAATCTCCCTGGCTCCTGCTCCCTCCTCTGTGGTTTCCCCACCTGCCCCAGAGCCTCCTGGTTGCCAGTTGTGTGGCCACAGCTGGGGAAGGGAGTGGGGGTTCAGATACTGGCCACTGGCCTCCCCAGGACCAACAAAACGCCTCGCGCGATCCAGCCTCCAGACGGGGCCCCCAGGCTCTCCTGGCCTCACCCCTGTGGGGTGCCCAGGAGGCCTCCCTGAGGCCTTGTGGGAGTCTCCTGGCTGGCTGAGGGATGGCTCTAATCATGCCCAGGGCCTCCCACCGCTCTGCCTTCCTAAACCCGGACCCCCTCTGAGGGTGACCCAGCAGGAGTCCCTCGGGGCCCTCCCCAGCTCACAGGGGGCTGGTGAGAGGGGCCCCTACACCCCCACCCCAGCGCCCTCAGCGGCAGTGGGCCGGCGAAGGGCTGTCCCCTCCCACTGGAGCCAAATAATTGCCTCCTGCTTTGTTGTGTGGTGTCTGGGGCCCGGGGCCTCTCATTTGTGGGGACGTGCTGTGGCGAGAGCCTCCCTGCGTAATTACCCTCCTCCCCATCACCGCCGCCGCCGCCACTGAGCCTCCTGCGTCCGCTGGGCCTTACTCACCCCGCCGGCCTGCAGCTCCCCCCACGGCCCAGACGCAGGGAACTCCCCTCCCGGGTCCCAAACTGGCCTCTTCCGGCAAGCCACCTCTCGGCCTTCCCCTACGGCCCCCTGCAACCCCGCAAGGCCGGGTGGGGAGGGGCAGACCTGGCGGGGGTCTGTCTCTCAAACAGGGACCTGAAAGGATATTTCTGGTCTGAATGCACACCCCCCCCCCACCCACCCCCCGTCCTCAGCCCGGGAACCAGACCCAGGATGGGGCTCCGGGCACGCGCCTAGCATTGCACAACATCTGGACAGGAGTTGCACCTGTCGGGACTTGTTCCCAGTTAGGGTTGGAGCTACCTGCGACCCTGATACCTGGGAGAAAACACTCCACTCCAGCTTCTTTTTTTTTCCTTTGCTTATTTCTCAAATAGTCATTTACCTGTTTATTCATAATAAAGGCCTCTGTGAAACGAGAAGGAGAAGAGGAGAAACAGATAGGGAAGAGCCACACGACCCACACACCGAAGAAGAAACAGCGATACTCCCCCAAGATAAAGGGAGAGACTCCCTCAAAGAAACAGAGACATGGGTCATTACAGAGAAGGCCACCAGTGAGCCCGAGGCACACAGCAAGGAAAGAAGAGTCAGAGGAATGGAGTTTTCATTTCTCTTACATGGAGACAAAAAAAAAAAGACAAGACAAAGAAAAAAGAAAAAAGACAAGAAAAGACAAGAAAAGAAATGAGAGCAAATACAAAAAACCTTTGTCCTGTTATGTTGCCTTATTTAAAATCTTGGGTAAGTCTTGTAGAACAGACCACACTGGCAGTTGCATGTAAAGGCTGAACTTGAAGGGAGGCAGGACACACAGTAAGAGGCATTGGATGAGCCAAGACAAATTATGAAGAGAGTCACATAATACAAAGGCTTGTCTGCAACACAGCACAGTAGGCTCAATCAAATTGACAGGTAGATGATCCCTGCTTTCTGAGGCAGGACAACTGACAGTTCAGAAAAATTTTTATTCTTGAGGGAGACACACACACACACACACACACACACACACGGAGGAGGGAGGGGCAGAGAACAGAGAATGGGAGCCGGAGACATAGACCTTCCCAGCAGGCTCCAGGCTCTGAGAGCCTGAGCCGTCCAGCACAGAGATGACGATAGGGCTTGAACCCGCTTAACTGGGCAGATTTGCCTGAGCGAAGTCTGACTATTTTCTGCTTAAGAAGATTGAGCTGTACCCAGGCACCGACAACTGACAATTTAAATGGCAGAATAGGGGGCACATGGCTGGCTCAGTCGGAGCAGTGCATTTGATTTCTGAGTCGTGAGTTGGAGACCCAGGTTGTGTAGATTAAACAAACAAACAAACAAATAAACTTAAAAAATAAGGGCAAGCATAATAGGGATGCAGGATGGCTTTTGGAGGAGGGGCTTTCCAAGCATAAGAACCACCGGCCAAACAAATACTAAATGTGTTAGAGAGTCGTCTACACTATGTGCCAGGCACTGTTCTGGATGCTTGATTCAATTAACAGAATACAACGAACACAGATCCTTGGGAATACTTTAAGAAGGTGTTATGGGCTCTGTAAGGCCTGTTGGGAAGGAAGATCAGAAGAGTACAAATCCTCTTCAGCAGCTCAGCGTAGGGGAGCTACTTAGAGAAGATGAGTTCTGGGTGCACTGGGTTCTGCAGAAAATTAGAGAAGGTGAAATCTAGTAATGCTACGTTAGATTACGGACACTGTCAAACCAGGGGGGCGACCAGTCAGTCTGTCACTCAAACCAGTGGGAGGCACCAGTGGAACACCCCTGAGTTCAGATCAGTGTTGAGTCCCTCCTGAGGTCACACAACACAAAAAAAGGGGGGTTTCAGTATCTGCTATGGCTGTAGCTGCTAGATTTCAGCAGCTATGGCTGCTATGGGTCTGGGGTACCAGCCAAAAAAACCCACACATTTGGGAGCCCTTGGTTGAGAGATTCATTGCAGTGAAACTCAGTGCTTCAGGGAACCTGTAAGGACATCTTATCTCTGGGCAGGTCATTCAGTAAGCAACCATCTCCTGTCCCAGTTCTATTCTCATTCTCTCCAAGGCCTTTTTTTTTTTTCTTTCTTTCAAGTTTATTTATTTTAAGAGAGAGCAGGGGAGGGGGGCAGAGAGAGGGAGAGAATCAATCCCAAAGCAGGCTCCGGGTGTGCTGATAGCACACTGATAAGGCAGAGCCTGATGGCAGGCTTGATCCCAGAATCGTGAGATCATGACCAGAGCCAGTAAAATCGAGTTGGATGCTTAGCCTCAGACTGAGCCACCCAAGGGCCAGCCCCGCCTCGGGATCACCCAACATGCTTGTTATCAGGAAGCTGCCCTGAAGGTCCAGCTCAAAGCCTTCTCCCTCAGTGGCAGTGGAGGAAAGCAGTGCTTGCTGCCCTTTTCCAGGCAGAGACGGACAAAGACGCAAGGATGTCATTTTGATGAGGTGGGGACCAAAGCCTCCTTCACAACACCACCTAGCGCCACCTCTCATTCTCTTTAGGGCCCTGAAGCAGAGGAGAGAGATGAAAGGGACAGAACTGACCATGGGTGGGTGGGGGGAGGGTGGAAACCCAATTTCAGGGGAAATGGATTAGATGAGGGGTAAAGGTGAGAGCGGAGTTCTGGCTTGAGGAATAACCAATCTCATTGGCTCCCTTGGCATCAAAGCATCCATTGGCTTTCAGCAAACTAAAACTGATTAGTGTGTTTGTGTGAGTATTGGGGAGGGGAGGTAGGGGATGAATCCTAGACCAATGTGTTGACTCTGTACAGCTTCACCTCCCCATCCCCTTCCCACTGCCCCCCCCCCCCCCCCCCCCAGTCAAGAAATTCTCCAGGAATCTGGCTTCACCAGGTCTTGGTTCTGGAGTGACCCCTGTGATCCTCCC